AGACTAGATCCTGAAGAGGAGTCCGTGTATTTTATTATAAAGCCATAGAAATGGAACAAGAAAAACATGTTAAAATTATTTTCCCAGTTCTGTTTTTTTCCCCCATTTCAGTCTCTTTTGACATTTTTTTCTCCCAAATAAGGCTTTATTTCGTCTGATTGCAAAAGCAGCACATAGCCTCGTATTTACATGGACATCAGACAAACTCACGTTCAAATTTTGCTACTTAGTAGCTGTGTGCTTGATCTCTTTATGCCTTCGTTTTCTCCTCTGAATAGTGGAGATTATTATGATAGTTCTTCCTAAGATGGCCACGAGGATGAAATTAGTGTCCGTCAAGTGCTTAGCGTGGCACCTGGCACAGTGATGTTTCCCTAAACATGCGCAGCTGAAGTTCTGGCCCTCACAGGAAAGGTGATCTGAGACCGGGGATACAGCTGGACTCCTTGGCCCAGGATCGTCACTGCGGTGCTTTAAGAGAAAATCTAAGTCTGACTCCAGAAGCCTTGCATAAGAGTCCATTCTTTTTTTTTTTTTTTAAGATTTTATTTATTTATTTGACAGAGATCACAAGTAGGCAGAGGCAGGAGAGAGAGAGGAGGAAGCAGGCTCCCCGCTGAGCAGAGAGCCCGATGTAGGGCTCGATCCCAGGACCCTGAGATCATGACCTGAGCCGAAGGCAGAGGCTTTAACCCACTGAGCCACCCAGGCGCCCCAAGAGTCCATTCTTTAGGCTGATCTTTCTCAGCCACGGTTCATGTGAACCACAAAGCTCAAAACGGCCAAATGACTCCTCTCTCTCCGGAGGATGCACTGTGTGGGCACCATTGCGGATGCCCGGGACTGCTGGCTGACGGTTCGCAATGCTTGAATGCTTGATGGAGGACACGGGCGCAGGCCTCTCCCCACCCCGTCCCCTTCCAGAAAGGCTGCTCCGCTGCTTCTTGAAGAGCCAGGGCAGGGCTCAGTGGTGCTGCCCGTCTTCCCTGGAAACCTCATTTTCTCCCGCCTTCTAAGGACCGCGGATAAAACTCTCTCCCTCCCTCACCCACATGATCTCTTCCTCATACAGCGTTCCCTGGCTCTTACTCCACACTGCGCTCACCACATAGCCTGTTCTGACAGGTGTCCCCGTCTCTTGAAAGAAGAACGCGTGTCTCCCCATCCTTGTGCGACCCTCTTTCCTCCAGGATCGCAGCGAAGAGTGTTGCCAAGAAATGCACGTCATGCCTGGGACTCTACAGCAGGAAACACTGACATTTTTTCCTTCATACACAGACTTGTGAAAGTCCTCTGGGAACCTTGCTACTGCCAAATGCCTCTCCTCCACAAAAACTATAGAATTCTCTGGGCACTTAATCTAGGCGTGTCATGATTGGTGCTGCTGAGGCTTCTAAAGGTCGGTGCTGTATGGTAGAGCAAATCTGTGCCTCTTGGAGCCATTCCTATGTCCTGTCGCTCTTCAGTGCTGACGAAGGTCTTGCGGCCTCCCAGGAAGGCAGCGGACACCTTCTTGCGGGGGGCGGGGGGGTGGGGCATGCTATCTTCTGTGTTAACAAGGAGGAGTAACACTGGGTAGGCAACTAGCAGTGTCTACCGCAATCCATGTAATGGAATATCATGTAGCCATTACTTTTTGAAGAATATTTATTGACATGGGAAAATGTGCACAATATATTAAAGAAGAAAGCAGGATACAAATCTGTAAATACAGTATGATCCCAGTCTTGTAATAAAATAAATTATATACGCATAGAAAAAATACAGGACAGAAATACACTAAAACATTAACAGTGATTATCTCGGTGGTGGGATTTGGGAGAATTAACTTTTTCTACATTTTCCAAACTTTCAATAAGGAACACATATTCATCTATCACTTTCATCGTGGCGGGGGGAGACGTCCATACCGGTGACACGTGACCCCTAGTTTTGGGAGGCAGTGAGACCGACGCGGTGTTAAGGGGATGCTCAGTACTCGTACCGCCTCAGTTGGTGTCCCCATTTATAAACAGGGCAGATAAGCCTTGTCTTGTCTGCCCACCTCCCTGGACCACAGATGTGGGGAAGGGGCCCCAAGTGTCTTCCTGTTACTCTGCAGCAGCAGCTCGGGTGCCTGGTCGTAGGACGCCAGCACGCCCTGCGCCAGAGGATGGGAGGGTTACGGACACGTGGGCCCTCAGTGCACGGATGGCCACGGTGTCCTCCTCATCCTTGCTGCGGGCCATCGCGGCAGGCATCTGTCCGGGGGAGGCCTGCGGCCCTGGTCTCTGACCTCGGGGATTCCAGGTCCTTGTTTGAAACCCAGTCCTGAGCAAGTCTTCCACTCACAGATCACTCCGGGTCACCTCCCTGCTTATAGAGTTCCTTCAACTGGTTCTGCTGAAATGGTTATTGCTTAGAACGGCCTGAGGAGGCCTGCCCTGCAGCGCTGCAGAATCCTGGGAGGCCTGGCGAGGACCCAGATGGTCAGGGTGGCGAGGGGAGGGAGGTAGGTGTTGGGAGTCAGGCCAGCCAGACTTGGACTCCTGTTTGCTGTGTCACTGGGAAACCGAGGCCTGCCAGGGATGGTCTCTAACAAGAGATGTGATGAGGTTATTTGCGACGAGAGACATGAAAAGTCCAGCACACAGTAAGCACTCAGCAGATGTTAATTTTTTTTCCAGGGGCAGAATGAGGTCCTTCCTCTCCCCCTGCAAATGCTCTCTTCAAAAACAAAGCTTAGTGGGTAGTGCCCAGCGCAGGGAAACTCAGAGTCAGACAAACTCCTTGAAAGCACAAGAGCACAGCTACTTAAGCGGGACTGTTCAGACACTTTGCGTAGCTGGCAAGATGCTATTTCAGTAAACATGTCTTCATTTAGGTAAGCGAACACTCATGCCAAAGCGATTTGATTGTAGAAATTATAAAAATACTTTAAAAATGCATTTGTAGAATGAAGTAACAAAAATACTTTTTCTAAAATTTTTTCACATCATCTAAATTTATGAATTGCTGAGTTTCATTTTATTTACTATTAGAACATGGGTCATGTTTTAATGTCTAACTATCTGGATGAAAATCCTGAAGCGGATTGTATTCTTCCTAGCCTTTTATTCTGGAGTATTCTGGACTTACTCGGTTTTGTAAAATAGAGTCCAGGTCCTCTCTCTGAGGACCTCTCTCTATGGGCCGTACTGTTGGTACTGATCTTTCTGGGTTTACCAGTGTCCTTTGGGAAACAGACCGTCCCAGACTCGCGAAGCCTGGTGTAGACTTCCTCCTTCCTGCCTTCCTATCTGGGTTTCAGCCGGCCTTCAGCAGTTTTCTGTCGACCTGTCTTCTACTGAGCAGCCGCCTCATCTGCCTTTTTTTTTTCCCCCTTTTAAATGGGCTTGAAAGAAATAACTCAATCTGTTAGAAATGTATGCAAATTTTAGTAAAGGGGGTAAAAGGAGAGATTCTTGAGGATCTCTCCTATGAGTACATTACAAGAAACTCTAACGATCTCTTTGGCAGCTCAAAGGCCTTTAAAAACTCCATCCTTGAACCGTTGTTTTGGCAGAGAAGGGATCTCTGGATAAATGACATTTCCACCAATACATGTACTTTACCTATCCTTAGAAGGGGTGTTATGGTGAGATAATGGATGTGAAAACACTTTAAAAATGCATGAACTCTGAAATATTGTTTGCCCCATGTATCTATAAAGAAACACACACAGATGGCTAAATTGAATCAACCCCAACGTTTTATTTAATTTAAAGTTTTAAAAGGCAGTGGTTAAGCACATTATCTACGTGTGTATATGTATGCATGTATGTACGTACGAATGTGTACATACATGCGTACATAGACACAAGGAAACCAACCCCTTTCAGCTTTAGCCACTGAAAACTAGGCCCACTGTCTATGGCAGGATTCATATTCTACTTCTTCGTATGACCAATTCTAAAAGTAAAAATAAACAGCCTTAATCAGTTTAACAGTAACTATTGTGTTTCTTTTTTAAATAAATAAAGTTACCATTAAACTGATCACATGTGGTAGAAAGGTCGAACACACAAGCGCACACACAGTCCCCAATGTACAACCTGTGACCTATGAATGACCTGTATGTACAAATGGGTGCCGCTGACGCCCTCCAGCCCCAGCAGAGGCCACAGGAGAACTCCCAGCACGCCGAGAGTCCCCACCGCTCTGCTGGGTTGGAGGACGTGTGTCCCTGGCACCCCGAGCTGGACCTCAGAATGCATGCTCCCATGCAACGATAGATGGGGGTTCAGTTCTCTGGTACTAGTGTTAAGGTACATAAGGAATAAATAGGCATCTGTAGCTGCCTCAGAACTAAACCATCATTTATAACCCTTTATAGGGAGAAATGTATTCTGAAGTTCTCGATACGGGACCCACAAACTTTCAGAGTGTAGTCAGTTTGCAGGCCTGGGGCTGTGCGTGTGTGTGTTTGTGTGTGCATTTCCACGTATTTGTACAAAACTGAAATGAAGAGTGGGGCTAGGTTTATGGAGCAGCTGCTTGGCTTCCATGTAGTCAGTCCTGATCTAGCAGGTCACTTGCCTCAGCCCTTACGTGGAGGCTCGTTCTGCTTCTCCCGGGCCTCCGTCTGCGGGAGAGATTCGGAAGAGGCAGCTTTCACAGGCGAGAGGAAGGCCACGATTAACTCTTCCAAGAACCTTGGCGAGCAGAACGGCCAGATTCAGCCAGGGCGGCCTTATCAGATGAAGTCCTTCAGTTCCACCCTGATGAAGCGGCGCTCCTCCCTGTCCGCCGTCAGCCCCCGCCGCTCCGTCCGACGGCAGCGCTGGACCAACGCCTCGGTCTCGCGAGAACACAGGATCACCTCTCGGATATGCTGGATTCTCAGTGAGTAAACCAGTTAATGTGTTTCTAGCCAAAGCAAGGGCATAAATGTTTTAGAGAAAAGACTCCCCTGGAGCTACAGAGAAAAGATGCTGATAAAAGCAATATTGAGTTGGGCAGGTGACGCTTTTAGTCTGTGTCAGAGCTGGTCTCCTCGATGACAGAGTACTGGTTGAGTGCTTCCTCCAAAGGCGTTATTGTCCCATCAGGTTTTAGTCCCATTGGTTTAAGCAACTCCTCTCTGGAAAAAAAGATAAAAGAGAGAAAAAAAAAGTATTCACCAGCATCACACACACACCCCTCCCTCCCCGCCCAAATCCACATCCTTTTAAAAAGAAGTCTTTAAAAACCAAAGTATTTTTCCTCAAGCTCTCTGTGTGTTTGTAACAGGAAAGATGAAAGGGGCATGGAAAGAAAAAGAGGGAGATAAAAGACTTCATTCACACAGGCCAAACCTACTAAGCCAATTAAAAGTATGAAAAGTCAAGGTCTAAATGGGCTCAGGACAAGGAGCAGGTCTCTTCTGTTTTTAATAATTAACTTTTTTTTTCCTTTTGTGGATTCATTGTTTTAGTGAAGTTGAAGCTGCCAAAATTTCATGGGTCCCAGTGGGCCCAGCGTACAATCAAGTGGCTGATTTGATCCGTATGGATTTCGTTCAGTGGAATAAATCTGTCAGATTTGGTTTTGCCTCTCCAGCCTCTAGGGATGCATAAGTACTTCTCAATTCAATCCAAGTCAACTGGCCTTCCCCAACTTTCTCCTGCCCTTTGATTTCCTTCTCTCTCTCTTTCCTTCTTTTTCTTTTCTTTTTTTCTTTTTTAAACACCACTTCTTTTGTTTGTGGCAGTTTAATTACGGGATTGACAGCCATTTTAATCTCTTCAAAGCTCCCCAACTGCCTCTTTTCAGCTAATCCAATTACATCTACTCCACAAGTTACAGCCTCATCTAAAGATGATTAATTATTGATTAAGTCAATCAAAAAGCATTAGGAAAGATTTATTTAATCTTTTCATAGGCTCTTACTTATTACATGGAGATTATGGCAAATGTACCTGTTGAGTTGCTGACTCCAGTCCTCCTCCCACCCCCAAATGTCAGCGGTGTACTTTAAGAGTAGCCTCAAAGAGGCACAGGAGCTGCTTAAAATTCATTTCTCAAGGAAATGGGCATCACCCCCCGAGAACACGTCTATAACCAGGGACCCGCATGGTGGCACCTGTAGTGCTGGCAGGATCTGGAGTGAAGGGGAACGATAAATCTGCTTTCCCTCTACCTCCTTGCTGTTGTCCCTGAGGACAGCACAAAGAAGGGCTCCCTCCGGGAGGACTGGCCACCCAGTAGTGTGAGGTTAGAGGCACCCCTGGGGAGGGGTAAGAACAGCTCAGTGGCCCCTGGATACGCCAACAGGAGCCTAAGCAAGCAGCTCTGGCGAGCACCAAAAGACTATGAGAGTACCGGGAGGGCTGCCGGGCTGTGTGGAGGCTCCTGAGTTATAAAGGAGGAGATGTGGCTCCTGGTCCAAGAAATGGGGTCAGAATCATAGAACTTGAAACGGCCTCAGAGATCATTTAGTCCAACACCCTTGTTTACTAAATGAGACTGAGTGACTTACCCAAGGTCACACACCTAGTGCCAAGCAGGGCCTGGGACACAGGTCTCCTGCATCCCGGGCTAGGGCTCTTTGCAGTGTACCACATCTGGATTAACTGCTCTAACTGCCCCGCAGGAGCACACCGAGTTCAGCGGTTCAGTGTCCGCTCAACACCTACATGCCAGAAGCTAGGTCAGACACGAGGCAGGGAAGGGAAGAGTGGGCACGGTGGTCCTCGAGGAGCAGGTGAAACACATATGAAAAATAACTCAGAACATAATGGGGTAAATGCTGTCACACCATCGTGAACAAAGAGCTGGCAGCTCCGAAGATGAAGCACGGACCGAACTGCCTGGGGAAGGGAGGGCGGCATCACGAAGGAGGTACCCAATGCCCGGGCAAAGGAGGCACAGAGCATTTGAGGCTAAGGAGACCGTGTAAAGGGCTCTGCATGGTCCCGTCTACTTGTGTGTTTTGGATCTCTTTTTGGGTTATGTCCATTTCGCTGTGCTCCCATGAAGCTGTGAAAGGGCCCGGTGTTTGGAGAGTGGTGAGGTTCAATGAAGGAGGGACAGGAGGGTAAGGCTCAAGGGTAATTTGGACTCTAGCAGGTAAGTGTCTTAAAGGTAAGAGTCAAGGTGAGGAGTTTGGGTTTTACTCTATAAGGGATGTCCCATCTGTTTTATAGGGCAGGGTCTGACAGCAATGTAGAAGGCGCACTGGACCAGGGAGAACCTGGTGGCAGAGAGACCAGTCATGAGGATGTCACCGTACAGTGTGTATGGGATAGGAGATGGGATAGTGGGCTCGGGCTGTGACACACTGGCAGGGGAGAGGGCCGGTGAAGGAGAGACAGGGGTTGGGGGGGGGTGGCTAGAATGTCCCTGTGGCCTCCGGCTCAGATGACCAAGAGGATGGCGATACAATTCACTGGAGCAAGAACACAGCAGATGAAGTAGATTTTGGTGGGGAGATGCGGACATCTCTCAGGACACAAAGAGCCTGAGGCCCTTGCCTGACAACCAGGTAGAAATGTTTAGTTGAAAGCTATAAACAACCCGTTTCCATGAAAACTTCCCTCTAGCACTGATATATATCCCTTACCTACATTTTTACAACATAGTTGCCTACTGCTAAGTGCTTGTGCTGAAGGATTTTGTGATATTAGACACTACTCACTAATGACGTAAAAGGACAAGGGGGTAACCTGCTGGGAATAAAACACCGATGCATAAGAAAGTTGGAAGGTCTAAAGGGGCCTGTGGAAGAGGGTACAGTAAGATGGGGTAGGGAGTGAAGGGTCGGGGTAGATGGAAGAAGGACCCTGGATGGGACTAGAGACGCCATGAGACGCTGGGTGGATAGGCCCCCACCCCACCCCGCTACCAACACAACTCCATGTCTGTGATAACAGGATGATGCTGGGCTAGCTATCAGCTGTACAAAGTAGCTCTCACCTTCTCCAGACCTAGGAGGAATATTTTCAATCAAGTGCATTGGTTTCATCCCTGCTCCAGTTTCATGATGGAAATAATTAAGAAGAACATTACATAAGTCCCATGGCCAAGTTATAGGAACTTGGCTATGGGATAAAGGGGCCCATATGTTAATTCTCACCTGCGAACTATTCTTCTCAAGCATTTATTTTTTGGGCCCTTTGTATCACCCTCTGAGGGCACCACTGGATGCCTGGACTTACGGAAACCTCTGTAGGAGGGGTGTCAGTGGTAACTGGCCCTATGACCATATGCATTTGTGCAAGTGATATAAGACAGCAATGTGATACACTGTACAAAAAAATATCTGGAGTCAGGACATCTGTTTGGAACCTTGGCTCTTCACTTACCAGTTGTGTGATCTTGGGCAAGTCTGAGTCTCAGTTTTCCCATCTGTGAAATGGGGTAATGCTAATACTAGTTCTACCTACTTCCTAGTGATGATGTGAGGAGTAACCATAACAGAACCAGTGGTGGTAGCAATAAAAACAGTGATGTAGATCAAAGAGTTCTATGAACTGCAAATGAGTCCTAAATATTAGTTGTTGTTATTACTGTGGTACAGTGAAAGGTACATTACAGATTCTGGAGTCAGACAGACCTAGGTTCTAGTCCTGGGTCCACCAGTCACTAACAGTAAGACCTAGAACTCCCTCAACTTCAATTTCCTTATCTGTAGAAATGGGATAGAAATACCCACCTCACTGAATTGTCATGAAAAGGTCACTATACATATAAACCGTAATGTAATGGCCGGAATGTAGGTTGAACCGCAAGTTGCATTTCCTGTCTTTATGCGCTTATGGGAGGCTTCCCCAAGCCGGGTACCAGCACTCTGGGAGTAAGTGGGGGGAAGAATATGCAGAGGCAAATAAAAGACATGGTCCCTGTCCTCAAGAAGCTTTTAGTCAGTTCAGAAGATAAAACACACACACATTAAACAATATTAAAAGAATTACAGAACAGCAGATCAACAAGCTCAAGATGATTAACAGGCAGAGCCCTGCTTTCCCTACCTTGACAGTGCATCAATATACTCTCATTGTAATTAAAACATGTTTAAAGGAAATTTCTTGCCCTGTTTGGGAGTGGAAGGAGAGAGGATGTCTCACAGCTATGTGACTGTTTTTTTCTGTAGGACTCCAGGCTTACTTGTCACATTCCCATCTCAACGTTTCTAATCTTCCCTCTGTCATGCAACTAACAGCCCACAAATACCCAAATGAAATCTTTGGTATAGAGACTCACTCCTAAAAGGTCTGATGAATGACCTGGTTATACTAGACTGTTTCACTGAACTTATTCACTGAGTAAGATGTTGTATCTAGATATCTAGATCAGCAAGATGAGGACGGAGAATGGGAAGCATTAATGAATACCACAGAAATGTTTTTCCACCATCATCTGGGTTATGTACATGTGGGAGGGACACAGGAGGAGGTGGGGATGCTGATCACAGGCTCCTTGCAGGAGACGGACTCAGGGCCAGACTGTAATGGCAGGGATGGACATGGATTCATGGGGAGAAAGGCATCCTAGGAGCAGAAGAATTAGTCAAGCAAAGGCACAGAAGCAAGAGTTAGTTGTGTGCAGAGATTGGCAAGCAGGCTGGTTCGGCTGAGGTAAAGGAAAAAGAAAGCTCAAAACAGATTTGGGGTACAAAAGAGGATCTGAATGGAGACTTTGAAATCCTAGGTTGACAAGTCTGGATTATAGTTACAGAGGTGTTTTTGTCTTCTATTTCAAGGGCCCCACATCTAAGAATACTTATTAAAATAATTCTCATTACAAAGTTTGAAAGCTATGAAACCGTATTGCCCTGACATTAAAAAGAAAATGTTCTATGCTATAAGTATTCAATTTTCATACCCTTATGTGTCTAGCACAGCGCCTTGCCAATAGCCGGTCCTTCGTAAGTGTTTATGGACTAAACTCAGTTGCAGTTGATGTTATCTTGTACTTTTCATAGAAAGGGAAGATGTAGTATTTTATGGGACTCCTAATAAATAAACCATGATCATGAGAAAAGCTAGATCTTTGAGTAGAAAATTCATTTTCATCATCAAGATCTACAAAGTTAGGAAAGATAGTAGCATTCTACAGGAAATTCTGCATAATGCTTTCCAGGGATTTCTTGTTCTCTGCTAGACCATGAGCAACTTGAGGGCAGAGTCCATGTCTTATCTGGCTGTGATCTGCACTATCTAGTATAGGCTGGGGGCACACAGTAAGTGCTCAGTAAATGCTAATTAAGAAGCTATAATACATGGGTCATGGCAAAAATGGAGAATGGTAGAGAACCATTTGTCAAGAATACTTATATTATTTTAATTATTATTTCCCTGATGAGTCTATGTCATTAGACATTCTGACAGTGCAGCAGAAGTCAGGCCCCCTTTGTACCACAACAGCCTGGAATTCCCAACCACTAATTAGTGTAGACTCAGCTTCTTACATATGCGGCATTGGGAGGTCTAGATTCTAGTCTCGGATCTCCCTCTAACTTGCTGGTGTCCTTGGGCAAGTCATTTCCTTCTCAGGGCTTGAGTCTACCCATCTATAAAATGAAGGGGTTGGACAAGATGATCCCCAGGATTCTATTCTAAGAACCAAAATATAGGCTACTAATTAATTTTCTTCCATTTAAAAAGCTGCTAGGTGTTTAAGACACTAAAACTCAGTGCTGCTAAGCCTTTGTTTTTAATCAAGATATATATTCTAAGCCTAAGAATCAAACACAGCATCCTACCTGTAACTGACCGACACCAAGATGAGAAATCCTTTCTGCAAAACTACGGCAGATGATTAGAATGATTACAAAAGTAAATCAAAGCAATGGCAAGTGTTACAAGGAAGGATCTAAATTCAGTCATGGCCCTCAGTAAACAGGCCATTTCATGAAGAGCTACTGGCCCTAAATATGAAGGTCACATCTAAAAAGGATGGCTAGGTGTCAGATAATATGTACATTATGGTTAAACGGAGATACTGTATATTGAAATGTGCATCAGGATTAAGATATTCACATAGCAACAACTCCTTCATACTTACCTTCAATGCTATACACAGGCCTTAACACAAGTTAAGACTGCCCTCGTTATCATCAAAAAGTACAGTGATGTCTACTGGATAAAGAGCCCATTCTAGGCACTGTGACAGTATCATGGCGGGCTTCTCATCTGATCAGGCATCTGGCCAGGGAAGAGATAAGCCTCCAAGAATGTTCAACTGGAACGAAACATCATTTAGAAATTTGATCTTACTAAACGATAAGGAACCATAATCTATAAGGGCTTGGCCAGGCACGAGGACATAGATAAAGCACGTCCAAGGAAGGAAACCCTATTTTGCCCCAGCCTAACCCTTGGGACTGCTAACAGAAACCAAAAAATACTTTCTTAGATTTGGGGGTGGGGTGGGAGATTATGGGATTTATACCATATTTAAATTTTTCATTTTTTTTTTCTTCCCCCAGAAATATTTTAACATTTTCCTGAGCCACCATTTCCCTGTAAGGATGGTCCTCTGCAATGCCTGGGCTTACATAATTTCTCAGAACCTTAGAGAAGGTTCCATTTCTTAGGGCTTCTGGTCCTATATAAGTCTTTCCCCCAGAAATGACAGTGCAATATTGGGGCTCAGACGCTAACATACCCAATCGCACACTATAGAATAGGCCAGATGTATATGTGTATAAAACACCTTACTTGACCTGAAAGCAAGAGAATACTCTTGCCCACAGCACATGTTTTTGTGCAATACAAACAAAGCATTCAATTCAAGTGTACTTGTTGAAAACCAGGACATAATTAAGCAGTTGGTAAAATGCATTCTTGTTTCCCACTTGCAGATCTCCCAAGAGTCCCTTCGAATTTACCTATACGAGTTTCAGCTTCCCGCTTGCCACTTAGCTTGATAACGACTCAAAAATCATTCCCTTGTTTTCAAGGGCTCTTCTTTCTTGTCTGCTCTGTGTACTACAGGGCAGTATTGACACATGGAATTAATGACAGGGTCTGTAATGAAACAACAGTCATGCAAACACCAGTCTGCTCTTTTGATAAAACAGCATGTTAGAGACCTATTCACCTCCCTCTAATTGAGTACTGCATAATAGTTCCGATCCTTTTATGTAATATATTTTGTTCTATGATTAGAAAAGAAGAAAGGGGGAAACCTGTGAGGCACTGCTTCCTTCAATCGCCCCCTGATTAATTCTCTGTTTCTAATGAGGGTGGCTGCTATGTAGGCAGGTTCTGTTACATACTTGTTTTGTTGACTTCTGTACAACGTATAACAAAACCCAAGGCGGGATAATTGGGAACCATTTCTGTGGTGCAGGGATTCCTGCTCTTAACGTAAGGTTGGCTTAGAAAAAAAGAACCCTGACATTTAAAATTAGCCATTTCATAGTTAATTCCTTTTCACATTTGAAAGATAGGATGAGAAACTGGTAAATAAAGAAAACATTTTTAACGAACACAGAGCTTTTCCAAAAAGGCCTGCTAGAGTGGAGCCTGTGCTAGCCCAGAGAAAGCAGCTCTGTAATCTTTGCTCTAATTCCAAGTCTGAGAGTGCATCTTATTTCAAGATTTTGGCGTTCCTGCAACAGTCGATAATCCACCAAAGTACAGTGGACTGCCTAATAACTTGTTGATATGCTTACAAGTGTTTATAACCTCTTTTTCTCTTAGAAAAATATTATAACTTTGGCCATTGCTTAACATGTTGCGTTACATGCTGGGCAAGAATGTCCTTTGGGCTCGGACCCTGATCCTTCAACTTCTGTGATTTTCCATCTAACGGCCTCCTAGTGCCGACTGGGTGCACTGATTTTTCTCTAAGCCACTAACCCAGTACATTTGAAGGGGTATGGTGGCTCTTCCATAGCAAATTTGAGGTCTTCAGGCTGCTTCTTTCAAAATAATTCTGAAATCTTCCCTCAGACCACACCACTGTGCTTTGGGACTGGGTGCAATTAGGAAGGTAAATATGTCGCATAAAAATATTTCCATAACAAATGAGTGGGGCATAATGTCCACTACTTTGGACTATTTTCTACTTTACAAAGGAAATTAGGAGTTGCCTAGATAGTCTCAATGGAAACTTAGTACTTAGTACCTTTTTAAAGTTAGATTTTCTTAATGTGATTGTAGTAAGAATTTGTTAGAATACCTGTAATCATTCTTTTTTAAAAATAAAATAACTTACATTAACATAGAATCACAGCAATTTTACTGGTTTCCTTCATATAAAGGGGTGTGTGTGTGTGTGTGTGTGTGTGTGTTTGATATCAACTATTTATTTTAGCACCTCACCTAATCTTTGAGAAGATCTCAACTATGGAATGAGAAAGCAGAAATACACGTCTTACAAATCTTAATCCTCTTCTCAGGTAAATATGCTTACTGACACACTTCAGATTTTCAAAATAACCTAAGTTCTAGTGTCGTAAGACTGAGAACTGAGTCCTGATTATGTCATTAATCAGGTGCCTGATCATGGGTCAGTCACTTAATGATTGGTCCCATTTATTCTTCAGTGAAATCCTCCTTGCCCTATCTAATTCAGAGGGCTGCTTCACTGATCATTGGAGAACATATATATGGAACTACTTTTTACACTTGAAAGCAGTAAATAAATATTAGTTTTTTATCCTCATTTCTGTTAGAAGATCACATGCAAAGCTTCTAAAAATTTGTTACCTACCTCACATTAAATAGCATGGTTAAAAAAATATGTAGAAAGAGATTAGGGACAGTGCTAAAGAATCAAATTTAGTTTTATCCTTAAGTGAAGGTATTCTTTTTTCTTGGTAATTTCTCTATGGAATTCTTCTATTGTGTTGTCCAAATTAGCAAAATAAATATTAATAAGAGGTCAGCATGCCAAGTGACACTGCTGAATAAAGCAGGAGAAACAGGAGTTCTTACATGCTTTCCCCAATTAGAAAGACTTAAAAGTTGAAGGAGGGTAACTAAGAGCACAAACAGCCAGGGACATTCTTACGTGATGTTTCTCTAATAGAGAGAAGCCGTTTCAGCTAGTGCTTAAACCAAGAGCTCAAAGTAGTCATTCCCACTACTGAGGTTAAAGGACAATGATTACCAACAGGCAGTACAAAGGTCACATGAAATCCTACCTGGAGATGCCTAGCCAGTGGAAGGGCCCTCTATAACCTAAAGATACATAATATCAAGTTTCTCAAATCAATGTTTCCTTGCCACTTTAAGGGTCTATTAATTTAACTGGGTCCAAGTTCCCTTAATGGAACTGTCAGGCAACCTTACGGTGTATTTTAATGATACAGAATAGTGCTGCAACACGTAAATACAATGAAAGCTACAAATGCAAGCCATATATGTAGTTTTAACTGTAGCCACACTGAGAAAGATAGGTAAATTGATTTTCATATATTTTGCTAACACAGTATATTAAAAATATTATTTCAACATAAAATCCATATTAAACAATTGAGGTATTTTACATTTCTCTTTTTATACTGAGTTTTCGAAAGCCTGAGTTTTTAACCCTATTGGACATCCCAGTTTAGACTACCCACATTTCAAGTGCTTAGTACTCCTATATGGCTTGTGGTTACTATATTGGACAGCACAGATCTAAAAGATTTTCTGGTATACACAATTAAGATCTTTACATTTTTGTACCTACAATATATCTCACAATGCTTAAAAAATAAGATGTTTTGGAAACATACCTGAAAAACATGTCCTTGACTAACTTATCATAAAGGTGGGTGTAATCATAATTGTTGATACTTTTGTAAGCAGAGTAGCTTACTCATAGGGAAAAAAATTCGATATTACTTTTCAGTTAGCCCATCCCAGATTTAATAAGTCTAAAAATTATCTCTGGATTAAAGAGAACTATTCCTGTATTTGGAACCTACATTTATTAAGAAAGCCATGTCCCAAATACTGCACAATGGCTGGCAAATACATATATAAAAAAAAAAAATATATATATATATATATATATATATATATATATATAAAATATATATAAGAAAGAAAGGGGAAAACAATTATTTAAATTTTAGATTTTGATAGAATATGTAAGCAAAATGGCAATGCACCTTGTTAAATGTGACCAGGGCGGGGTGGGGGGACGGCAATAATTAATCAGTGCCTGGTTTCAATTAAGAAAGTGAAGGGGACTAGAAAAGTCAAAAGAAAATTGAAACTTGAAATATTTCTTCCTTTGGTTGGTTTAAGCTTAAGCCAGTCAATCCTCTCTCCCTTCTTCTGGAGGAGGCTGTGTTACTGTACATGAGCTGTATGCTGTAGCTAAGGTGAACGCAATTGTATTAGCCGCACTGGACTTGCTTAACCACACAGTCCCCATTCTAATCATCCACTTAAGTTGCGGGGGCTTATTTTTTTTTTTCCCCAATTCAAAGAAGGAAAGAGGAGGTGGAGAGGAAGCCAAATTTCATCCCCCTTTTCACCTCTGCTCTCACAGAGAAAGCTTCATTTAACATTTTTAATGTCATGCCTCAGGACTTAATGTTTATGATATATATTACAGTGATCACTTTAAAGAAATTATGTACCCTAATATTTAAATGAGTCAGTCGTGGGCCAATGTACTTTTATGGAATTCCTTTCCAGTCCTGAATTTTATCATATCTGGCCAAGAAATGGAATTGACAAAGGTGTTATGTTAAACCATGTAGGCTATTTTACAGAGCAAAAAACTGGCCTACAGATTTGGGGATCAGCTGTGCTCATTATTTCATCATCACACACTAGGGGAACCACAGGGTACAAGGCACTGTACTAGCTAGACATGATGGGATTTATAGAGTTCAGATTATTTTCAAACTCTTAAGACCTCCAGGTCCACTGCCAATCCCCTTACCTACATCTGTCACAAATTCAATCCTTACGCGCGCGCACACACACACACACACACACACACACACAAAGGAATACTACTGAGTCAGTTGGTATTCAATGGGAAGAAAATGTTTGAGCATGAATTTCCCCGGTGTCCTTGGGAATATAGCTACGATAAAGCTGCTAAGGTAGTGAGCTCCTTGCAGTGGTCGCTGTGTCCAGCATGGAGGCAAAGTGGATATGTAATTTTTGCATTGGTGGTTTTGTAGTTTTGGGAGTGGGCAACGTCTATACCCTACACCAGGCTCAGTAACAGTACTTGGCATGACCAACCTTAGTCATCACTTTGGTAAGTGCTTTGGCACGGGCCACTGTCGCTAACCACCATCCTGGTGCAGGTCCTTCACATCTGCTCTCCTATGGACGGAAAAAAGGAAGTGTCTAGTGTCCAGTCATTGGCCACGTCACCTCCAACCTAGCCTTTACTCACATGCCTTTCACTTCAGGCCCAGGAGAAAATGATTTCAGTTTTGAGAAGAAAAGGTAATCCGACAAAGCTACAGTACACTCTTAGCACAATAAAGACTTGGTGGGATGAAGAACATCCTCAGAGGACAGTAGAGGGAACTAACTGGTAGCACAATGCTGAAGAGGATGATCAGGAAGTTTTCTGGCAAACACTGACTCTAACAGACAGACACAGTAGCACAGTGGACAGAGCAAAGGTCCTGGGTTCTGGAAAATGAAGTTCCTAGTCTCACTTTGGTATGAAGCTAGAAAGAGAATGTATGTGGAAGTGTTTTATAAACTGTTAAAAGGAAATGGATTATCACGGCATTCGCTTGGAAATATTTGGGGCAATTCTTTGGGTCTTCCTCCAATTAGAAATCTGGTAACAGATTATATTAATCAAATAATGATAAAACAACCTGAGCTTTTTGGAAGAAAGATGCAGTATGTGAATACCAAAGGTTTATCTTATCGACAAGAGTAGATTTCCCTCTACCTGGAATGAATGGTCATTTCTCCAGTATCTGTTAAACACCTTTTAAGCTTCAAGAATCAGCACAAATGCTATCTTCCTTGTGAAATCGTCCCTGATTCATCCAGACAGAATGAACTGCTCCTTTTCCTGGGTGTTTACAGTTCAACATAGACCTTATTTGTCATCATTTGCCATCTACCTTGTATTTTAGAACAGATTATAGCCATTTCCTTCACTAGAATGTGAGTTCTAGGCGGAGCCTGTCACATTCTCTGAATCTCCCTCATCTTCCTAGCACAGTGCCTTGCACAGAGTAGCTGCTTAATAAATGTTCCCTGAATTGTACTGAACTTAGTCTACTTTCGCTCTATGCCATATCTTCTACCTCAAAAAAACCAAAAACCAAAAATCAACAGTGAAGAGAGAGAAGAAACTTAAGACAAACATATAAGACGCATAAAGAATGGCTTCATTCTTTGCATTCCTGCTTTGGAATGCCCACTGCTGATCTCCATACAGTTTTGTCATTGATTATTAGTGAGAGCAAATGTTAGAAAGCACACACACAAAGGCAGACAATGTAAAAAACCCACCACACGTCATGCAAAATATCAGTGATTTAGGACTATTTTTAAAGTTGCCTTTCGCTTACATTTTAATGGCAAAATTGGTACTATCAAAGCCAACACAAGACATACTTGCTCTGTTTTATACATGTGAAATCAGTATCACCTTCAGATTGAGCTGGGCATCTGCTGGGTGTTTCTGGGTGAGTACACATCTTCTTTGAGGCATAGTTTAAATCAAGTGGAAGCTTGGATATTTCAAACTTGACATTTGATTATTTATTTGTTGGCAGCTTCTAGAATATGTGGATTCCCTTGGGATTAAAAGGAGAAGGACCTAGCACCGTTTTCTGTCCCTTGTATAGGGTTGTCTTATGAAATGATCTTGTCTCTTTCAGTAAGTCAAGTACTTGGATTATACTGTATTATATTAGGCAGTCTTTTCCCCATCTCCCACTTTCCTAGTTTGGAGTTTACTCATTCAGGGTATATAGGCAGTTAGTTGAACAACATTTGTGTTCTCTTAAGGACTCATATTATTGGAGTGAAATGTACGAAACTTGCTTACTGTCCTAACCCACTGATGGGCTCCACATAGGTCCTCATTAACACTTCCCTCTCCAGCTTCTACTAGATGGATTCTGTTGGTTCTCATCCTAACTTTTGTACTTATACCACTGTTTCATTAGCTACATCAGATCCTTTCAGAAGTAGCCAAGCAAAAATCTCATGTTTATATATTCATTCAGAGCGTGTTATTTTCCTTCCTGTAGGTTTGCCTACAGTATCTTCTCTGATTCTAATTCCTTTGTTAAAGGAACATGTCAGCTCTATATAAAGGTATGGAAAATGTCATTTGCAAACAAAGGTTGTGAGCATAGTTAGCTGTAGATTCTAACCTCTTTGGGAAAGGATGGAAATTTAAAAGGACTAGCTGGAAGATACTGAATTCTAGTCATACTAGCTTTGTAGATGTGATCTAGATGATGAAGTTGTTTATTTCTGTATAACTACTACCACATTACCAGCATCATCAGACTCTGCAGTTCTCCCATATGTCACACTTCCCATGTCAGTCAGCCTCCTGCTCTGCCTTAACCTCTACTTGCTTCTTTGTTACACCTTCTGGCTTTCCCTGGATTCCAGCTGCTATTTCTTCTGACTGAGGGGTACTAGCCTTTACATATAGTCGCTGTGAAAAAGGAGATGATCAGAAGAAATACACCTTTAAGTGGCAGCTGCCACTGACACACAGAAGCACTCACTCAAGATGGCTTAAAGGAGACAGTGACTCAATGTATGACTAGAAAATAGAGCAATTCAGGCAAGTGTGAAAGGAATTAATATTTTCCAGTATTCCTCAAAGATGACTAGTTGCTGATTAGTATATATTTGACTTAAGAATTTTCAAGACTGGCTATTTTGGGAAGGGAAGGCGGTGTGAAGCAAGAAGGGAAGGGGAGATTGTCTTTAGAACCCCTAATTAATATAAGCACTTGCTTTCAGAAAACCCTTAATTTGAGCTATTCCTTTTCGCTTTTTCCTGTTGGGTGCATGACATTTTAGAATTCTTGGTTTCAGCAGCAACCCAAAAAGACAGAATTGCCAACTTGCACATCAAAAATGAGGGGGGAAAAAGCGTAATGATTTGGAACAAAAACCAAAACAGACTAAAACAAAAAATACAAGAAGCAGCAAAATCACTGAACCTAACTCATCGCATCTTTTTGAAGACAGGGAGGTTAGTTGGTTAAATGTCACAATGATCTAGTAGTCACTGTCCTAGCTCTGAGAGTTTAAATGTTTAAGAATGCACATCCAGAAGCAGCACATGTAGAAAAACCATGGTAGCCAAGAGAGATCTGAACTGCTGCTGCCCAGGCCACCCTGTTCCAATTAACATGGATTTCCAGAGTTGCTGTTCCATGATAACTCTCAGTAAGAGAGACAAAGAAATAGAACATTTTTAGAAACCAAGCAGAAAATGGATGGGAATACAATACCTGGAAAGTTTATCAAGCATGTTGACAAGTTTCATGGCTTCATATTCTTTTTGTTCTTCTGTCATTTCATCTATGGGGTTTGGCATTGGTTCCTCTAAATGACCAGTGATAAGATTAATGCTACAAAAAGAAGAAAAAGTTATGCTGTATGTTTTAAAATTATGCTCTTTCTATACTTTCTGGTCCAAGTTGTAATTTATAATAAGAAAGAGTATAATAGCCAAAAATGGGCAATAGTAGCAATTTTGTAGTATAGAACTACTACAGGAATTTTTAAAAAATTTACTTTTTCTATTAATTTGCTTTGGGAAGTGGGTGATAGTTTTACTTAAAAAAACAAAAAACAAAAAACAAAAAACAAAAACCAATAGCTGACTTGCCAACTTTTTGTTTTTTTAAAGGCATGGCTGCTTTTAAAAAATGTGAAATTTGACTGGTGCCGTTAGGATAAATATCCTTGGATGCATAGTTTATTAATATAAGGGGACAAATGATTTCAGAGTAGGAGAAATCCATTTTGTGATACAGCATAAAACAAATGTGTCAAAAAAACCTGAAAAAAGGATGGCAGAGAGGCTGAAATCTGAAAATGAAAGCATGCCGATTTATCATCTCAGGAAATTAGTCCATTAGTGAGACCACAGAAGGCAGTGAGTGTTCAAATAATAAAAGATAAAGCAGAAGAACAATTTTAATTAGATTTGATGTGACCTAGATTTAAAAGAAAAAAGAATGAAATCTAACCTACCAAGAGACAGGTATACACCATTTGACTTTCTAGAAATAATAAAGTACTTAAAATGTGTATGTCCCATAAACTTTGTATGAAGTTCTAATACCAAACAAGCTATCCTCTTAGGTGAAAGCCACACTTTTTTTTTTTTTTAAAGGAGATAAAAGAAAATTCTTCAATGGCTGCTAAGTTATCTATAATTTAAACATCTTTCTGGAAAAGCAGACAAGAGGTTATGGCATTTTGTTTCAGCCAAGTATGGACAATTTGCAGGGATATTTCATTCAGTCATTAAAAACAAAGAGCAAATTGCTAATAAATTGCTTTCTAGGGTCTACAAACACAAATGCTTTCAGTGGCCAGGTCTGCAGGATAAGCAAATGAGTGAACTGGTCAGCTATAAACAGTGTGGAGTGTTGGGGACTGGGGTAAACTTGAGGACAGTGCCAGTCTAAAGTAGCAGGAGGTACAATCCTGTGGGCCAAAACAAAGACCTTGTGATCAATTAGGTCCTCTGGAAGCTAGCTTGCAAGCCCTTCTTTAGACTTTGACTTGGGCAGGTTAACTCTCTTTACTGACCAGAGATTTCTCATTTGAGTAGTAAAAGGGCTAGGTCACTAGGTACTATTATCTATTACTAAAAGATTTCCTTTTGTTTTTCTACATTCCTCAGAGGGCACATTATATTCAGATTCTTGTGGAAGGACTCAGTGCTCAGCATTCTCAAAAACCAGATCTAAAACATCTGTCTTAACAGTCCTCCTTAAGACCTACACCTACAGCTATGATTAAAAAACTTTTTTTTTCCCTCCAGAGCAATGGATCCACCACCAACCTCCCCCTGCCTTTTTGGGAAACAAATTAAATCTACACAGAAAGCCCATATATAAAATAGACAAAGTGGAACTACTCAAGCAGAAGAGGGGATGGGGTGGCCAAGCACAGTGGAGGCCTAAAGCCTCTCCTGTTTGTCTATACTTACTTGTTTCCTCTTAAGTTTGCCCCTGAGGCACTTTTAGGAACTCTGGGACATAGTTTGAAAACTCCTAGGCTTGTCAGTCATTCTCAGCTTTGGCTGCACATTAGAATCACTTGGTAAACTTTAAAGAAAAGGCTTAGGCCTCGACTGAGAGCAACTAAATCTACGTTATTTTATTTTCCTGGTGACTCAGATACACAATGAGGTTAAAAACCACACAGGGCTCGAGTGCCAACTTTAGACACTTCACTGTGTGCTACTATTCCTTTTTTTTTTTTTTTTTTTTTAAGGTGCTCATAATAGAAGAGAAAAAGGCCTCTAGCTAGTGGTCATTAAAAAAAAAACAACACTGAACTGGGGTCATCAGAGTCCCCAAAAGTCAAGAACAACGGGGACCCAGACAAGGCTTCAGAGAACTACAGCGTTTTTAAGATGTATCCAGATGCCACACTGAAAATGTAACTCCACCACCCATCTATTATTTGCTTAGGCTTATAACAACAGAATGCTTTCACTGGTTTCTTTTCTGCCACATGCTAAATTAGAAAACAACGAGTCTTATAAATAAATTAGTAAAGGTACTTATTATAGCACATACTACTTCCCAAGCAGACAAAGGAAATCAGGCGTTAGAAGGAAGTACAACGGAAGGTAGATGGATTAACTATGTAAAACACGTTCGATTTGTCTCTAGAGAGAAGGCTCCTCTTCTCAAGTTCAATGGAGGAGTGATTTAAGAAATCAGATCCCCAGACTGCTGTATTCTATAATGACATTAGCACAAGCCATCATTTGCCTCGGGGGTAGAACATGTCAGGAGGATGCACTGGTAAACTGTTGTATCCACAATGTAAAGTCAGGACATGAATTCCTGAATCAGGGCACATTTGATTCTTTTTTTGGTTCTTTTAAGGGCTTAATAGAAATGACGTCCATTTTCCACAAGCTGACCTCAAGTCCTCTGCTGCTAAAATGATTTAATGGCTTGCTCTGAAATGAGCTACTAAAGTCACAAAATCCTTTGCTCAAGGAGCATAAAAGCAATAGGCAGAAATTCATTCTTACAGAGTAAGAATTTATCATCCTTTACTGAAGCAATACCCCCCAACCCCCAGTACACAGAAGAATGTACGCAATATCACAGAAAACACAAGTTAGGGCTCCAAACTGTGCCACTCTCATAGGAAAAATGCCAATGTGCTCGGAGTCAGGAGGCAGACTTGGACATTGTTTCCCCTCCTGCTCCCCACTTCAAATAGGACTCCTTTGATTTCCCTTCCCAGAGAGGAAAACAAATAGTCACTGTAACAATGATGTGAGGTTTCATAAAAGACATTATTTTCAGTTGAACATCCACTTGCTACCTTTATAGAACCTCAGATAATATAGTCTAAGACTTAATTTTGTAGGTTTTAGGATCTTGACACTGAAATTCTGGGGTTAGTTTTATCTTGTTCTAAGACTGAGTCTTAAGATGTTTAAGGTACACTAATTGTGGCGGATACTACACTGGGTAATTTTCTCACCCCGTCTGCTCCCCTACCCCATCTTTCCAGCATTCCAATTCTGTGATTATATACGTCTTCCAGTTAGGTGACAAGAATTATTTAAACTCATTTGTAGTATCATCGAACATGTTGTATTATATAAGGTCATTATATGAACTGACCACAGTTATGGACCTGGTGATGAAGGGATTAAGACATAAAAAGGTATGGGCCTATGAATATATATGCAAAAGCTGAAATATATTTCAAGACTTTTGCTTTTCAGATTGTTGCTACACTTGGCCAACATCAACAGTACTACTAGGTCACTTAACAAAAAAGCTATTAAAATTTCTCCGAGCTATATTAAAGTTAATTTCAGTCTCTAAAAAGTAGGGATTAAATTTTACTCAAACCATTCTGGTTAAAGGAGGGCCTGGGAGGGCAAATCTCTACAGGGGCTAAGCAAGTAAGAATGAAAATGATCCACTGTTAAACCAGAGGAGCTTATGCCTGGTATGAATGAAAATGATCCACTGTTAAACCAGAGGAGCTTATGCCTGGTATGATGCCTGCCACTCAGCTCCATCAGCCAGTTGTCTGCCATGTGAAAATGCAGGCTTAATGTTATTAGAACTTATTGAAAAGAATCAGAAATCCAAATTTGCATCTGAAATATCTGAATTCTAAATGTTGGCAACTAATTAGGAAGTACTATGTAAAACATAAAATAAAAACACAGAACTAAATAACCAACGATACAGCACAAGAACTAAATAACCAACAATCCGACAAGCCAAGCAGCAGCTAACTGTGGGCTAAGTCGAGCCTCTGGGTGGACAATCTGCAACCTCTGAAAATAGAGGGATCAGGGTTTTCAGGAAAAGGCACCTGTGAACGCAGAACCAGGATAGGGGGAGATGGGGTGGGAAAGCCTATGCAAATAAGGCTAGAAATGTCTTTCCAGGAAAAACTCCCCAGAATATTTGATCCCCAACAAAACAGTAAAAAGAACAGTAGAAAGTTACTATATCCTTGTTCATTTACTTCAAGAAATATTAAAAATAAAGGTTTTCTTGGAGGGTACATCTTCAATATATGGTGACAATTACAAAGAGACTTAAGGCAAACAACAAAATCTTGACGAAGAAAAAAAGTCTCTTGTCTCATGCTGGAGAAATTATACAGTCGCTGCCACAGCTACTCCTAAGAGAAATACAGCTGAGAAGGAAACACCCGAGCTGCTTCTGCAGTGATTTTAAGCTTCTGTATGTGATTATGAACTAGTGTAGAGTATGAAGAGTCCAAGTAGGTGTTCTGGGGTTCTGCCCACCTTGGCCGTCCCCTCTTCCTGCCCTCCATTTAGCAGCCCTTTAAAGATACTCTCTGGACTCCTAGGTTCCTATACACCCAGCCTGACAGCCACTGGTCTAAAATGAGCCAAATGTCATTAGGTACACGTCTTTCGACTGCTGTTCGGGATGATGTACAAAATCACACTAATCAGTTATACTGTACCCATACCCACCCATACAGGCAAGGGGCCTCCATGCTCAGAGGCACAAAAGAAACTGGTATACAAGTTAGAATTTAGAAATTTTTCTCTTTGATACAGGACCAAAGTTTATCTGAAAACTTTAAACAAGCATGGCTTAGATTTACACCAAAAACCTGTGTGGCATGTAACTTGATTCTATAAGTATATTTCTGCTAATTGCGAAAGCCATTTCCAGTCCATTAAATACACTTACTTTGACACAAAAAAGATTGTTGTGAAATTAACAGTCTCCCATAGCCTGAATGTAAGCTCCACACAATTGTTGGTTTCAGATTCCACTAAAGGATTATAGGTTACCTTGGTGCATCAATCAGAATCCACTTACATTTTTGACAACAGGACTAGGGCCAACTGGATAAAGGGTAATTTCTCTGCTTCAGCCAATACTAGCAACTGTTGTGAATAAATGCATCATAAGAAAAGCATACTGTGATCTTGAGAACACTGATGGTGAAGGGTAATCAGAAAGTAGGGGAAAAAGCAATTCTTTCAGGGCTGAGTTTATAAGCTTGACTAGATTGGTAAAGAGTTTTCGTAATTTTTAGGGAAAAAGTTCTTTGAGCGTTATAGATCACTCCCCAGAGCACAAAGGGCTCTCTTGCTTGTAAAGTACTTTGTTTCCCACTACTTCCACAAGGACCACTTGAATAAGCATTTCATTTTCTTAAAGTAGGCTCCACACCCAACATGGGGCTTGAACTCACAACCTGGAGATCAAGAGTCACATGCTCCAACAACTGAGCCAGCCAGGCACCCCATGAATAAGTATTTTAAATTAACAAATATCCCGCTAGTGTTTCACCTGAAAGAGGGAAGATGTAAGAAAAAAACAGGTGCAAATATATCTGAAGGGGAAAGATGTAATGCTGTGTGAGAAACACATATTCATATTTGTCATGAGCAATTTAAGAAACAACAAGATTTCACAATGGTGACTATTCTGATGACACTAACACACCATTCCTATGAACAATATAGGCCAGGTCCAAAGCTGATGAAAATTCCAACTAGGGATGTCATAAGGTCTAAGTATAGAAACTTCCTAGCCAAGACTATAACAATACCAAACATCATGGCCCTCGATGTAAACAAAAGGTGCTCTCCTGAAATCTAACATCACTTTTATAATCTAACACATTTCTATTTCCCATTCTATTAGGAGAGACCCAATGTTCTTATATTTTCTCCAAGCAATTTCTTGTTATAGTAGCATTCTGGTGCTTATAAGGTATGTGATCATTACCACTGGTAGAAGTCATCTGTCAAGCAAAATCAACAATACACACCGAGATATAAGGACATCAACCACCCATGAGTATTTAAGAGTTTTTTGTGTTTTTTTTTTTTTTAAATCTTAGTTGACGTGTCCACATAACTTAGGACACAATGAATGCCTAAAATAATTTCTACTTTCATTTAAAAATATGAAGGTATACCTCAAGTGGTATTCTTTAATATCTCAAATGGAGGGAGAGAAAATACTAGACTGATGAAAATATAGTTTATGAAATAGAAAAGTCAAGAGCTAGTAACTAATTAGAATGATGACTTCTATAATTAGGGGAAGGTTAAAGTATGATTCCTCTATCTAAGCTTCAATTAGATGACAGAGCTGCCGATTTATAGCATCTAAATGGTGGCAGTCTTAAGAATGTATTGCTTAGAGTCACTGCTAGCTTTTTTTCCCCAAAAGTCTTTTTTTTTCCTAGGACACACTCTATAAGATCCTGCTGAGGCTGAACTGGAAATACTAAAAGTAATGCTATTTACCCAGGCCCAATTTGCCGAGGAATACAGGCCAAATAAGTCTTGTCTAATTAGGAAATGATCTTTGCTTTTACCTTCTGATAACCTAGTACTTTCATGTTAACAGGGCACAATTTATCCTTTAAAAAAAAAAAAAGCCCAATTCTGAAGATAATGATTTTCTGTCCTTCATCAACTACCACGTTCCTCACTACATTCTAGAAAATGTCAGTAGAAAAACTAGCATGTCAACATCATTGGTAATGCCAAAAGGAAAGGGCATACCCTTTTAACATTTAGTAATGGAAACGAGAAAATTGAGCTCATATAACTTCCAATAAGTGGAACTAAGAAATTTACCTGGGATATGGGGGGTTAAGAAGGGGACGAAAAGGATGGGGAGGAAACAGAAGGAAGTAGAGGTGGTCTGTTTTGGGGTAAGAGAAGAATTAGTGTCTTTGATTTCTAAGCACTGATTCAAGGAAGACTTGATAAGAGTCTCTGGTTTGCCTCAGTGCAATAACACATCTGTTAAAAGATTATTACCCAAGTGTTGGATTGAAATTTACTGTGGAGCTACACTTCTTTCCTTTTGCTAATAAGGTACCATTTTATTGACTCATAATGGCTTTTATGCAAGAGGGAAGATCAGAATTCATGGAACGTATGTTTAGATTTCTGAGAAAAACTGAAGCACTAAATAACCAAATTAAATACTTGGTCTTAGTTATACCCTATAAAATCTCAACCTTATGGGAAAGAAAGCAAAAAGTGGGCAATAATAATTTTTAAGTATATGATGGCATGTATCTAAAAATACGATCTCTCCAGATACTTCGGAGAGGGTCATGAGCATGCAGCAGAGTATTTCTTGTAATATTATCCTTCCTCAATCACTTGAAGTCACTCTTTAAGCTACTAGCTATGAAACTGCTCTAAAAACACTATTAAATGGAAGGCTTCCAAATCCACAAAAGAAAAGAAACACTTGGAAAATGAGAGACGAAGGAAGTGAGAGGCAAATAACCAAATCAAAGGCACAGACATAGTGAGGTGAAAAGAAAGTTGATACTATACTTTGGTTTTGCATTTTTGTATTCTTCAGTGTCTGTGTCCTCATCCTCTGAGTACCAGTTATCGCCTCTTCCTCCAGCCAAGAGGCCCCTGGCCGCCAACAGTCCTGCAGCATTCCCATAGCCAGTGTATTTCAGCAGGCTGTCCACTGCAAAAACAGAAGAGGTGTTTAGAGGAATCCGTGGGTGCTCACTGTCATTACCGACTATTCCCCAGCACAGGGAAGTTGGGAGATTCATATCATGGCAGTAAACCTTAAAATTGAGAGGTTTTCAAAGGATGGTAGAGGTTTTACTGAACTACCTACAAATTCTCCTACATGCTCTGAGGACCAAAAGCCTTTTTTCAGGTATCAGAAAGTCAAGTGGAGCTGTTTGGAATATACTTTGTGGCAGGAGTGGAGCCTCTGTGACCCAAATGCTGTTGGTAAGGGTGGTGTTTTAAGTTTCTGGTCACAAAGCTTTTTATCCAGTTTTAGAGAAATCATGACTACAAACTAGAATTAATGAAACCCAGATTGGAATTTTACCAACACAGTCATTATCTAAAATCTTTCTTGTACCCTTCATAGGAATGGTAGGGAAAGAGTACCAGAAATCACAAAACTTAAGGACGTTTGTAAAAAGGATAGCTAAGTCACTACTTATTCCAAAAAGTCAGCAATAGTACATAAGCGCATGATACCCACTGAAAAGGTAAGGTCCAGGAGTTAGACTGACTGGATTTTATTGGATTTATAGATTTATAGACTGACTGGTTCTACCACTTACTAGCTGGTTGACTTGGGAAAGTTATCTTACAGCTCTGTACCTTACTTTTTCTAGTCTAGAGAATTGGAATAATAATCTACTTCACAGGTTAATACACGCAAAATGCTTAGAAAAGTATCTGGCACACAGTAAATACTCTTTCTTTTTCCCTGGTAATATTAGGTAAACTGAGCATGGTAGACTTCTTAGTCAACAACAATAGCAACAGACCAATGAACCATTTGGTGCAGGTCAGTATTACCCTGTCATCAGTGCAAGGTGATAAGTCTAAGATAAGCAGACACATAAAACTGCAGGGTAACCGGAAACTACAGGAATTCTTTGTGTGTGTGTGTGATTTGTAAGATCCTTTAAGGAAGATACTAAACAATTGTTAGCTTTATTTAAGAGCACTTCCTTTTCTTCAGGTGCAGTTTCAAGGTAAACACTAAAATATTCAATCTAAAGATAAAAATTTTATTTAAGGCTTTCAATAAAATGTCATCCTAATTGCAACTATAGGAAACAACACTATTTTTTTTCATGTATAAAGTTTTAGTAAAACCTACATCTTGAAATACTGTTGTAATTCAGAGCACTTACCTCAAAAAAGACAAAATAAAGCTGGAGAAGATTCAGAGAAGGGCAATTAAAGTGACTTTGGGGTCTGAAAGGGGCAGCAGATAGGGAAATAGGGTAGGGAAAGGGGATATATGTGATCAGAGTATGAAATCATTAAAGGCATCGATAGGATGAATAGTCCACGAGTGAATTGTTCATTAAATTTTTCAAGTTCTTGAACTAGAGGGTACCTTCCTTGACTCTGAAAATAGGTACTTTGGGGACAAATAAAAGGAAGTCCTACTTTCAAAGGATATGGCAAATTGGTGAATCTGTGCAAAAGGAAACATGGATTAAATAATAAAGTAGATTAAAGTTTATTCTCTTTCAACCATTTTCTACCTTAAAACCTATTGGTAACTGCTGTCTCTTTGGTAATAATTCTCAGTAGATGCTAAATAGAATCATATTAGAATTTAATGAGGGGTCAGTGTGGTACACTTTGAAAGCCCTTGGAATAAATCTGAGTATGCTCCCTCTTACTCTCAGTGCCTCTGCAAGACTGGGAAGGTTTACCTAAGTTAATGAATTCTTAATGGATAATTAGAGAAGCAAATATCCAGTGCATACAGATATTTTTAATATTCATGGAGATTAGACATGACTTTAAAGATTTTATTTTTATTTATTTGAGAGGGAGAGAGAGGGCACATAAGTGGGAAGAGGAGAAGAGGGAGAGGGAGAAGCAGGCTCCCTGCTGAGTAGGAAGCCTGATGTGGGGCTTGATCCCAGGACCCTGAGATCATGACTTGAGCCGAAGGCAGACACTTGACTGACTAAGCCACCCAGGTGCCCCCAGACATGACTTTAATGACATGGCCAGACACAAAGTCAGTGAGGCAAAGAATCCTAAATCAGAACGCATACGGCACTGATACTCTCACTGTAAGCATTTTTGATAAGCCCTTTTTAAAAAAAAGATTTTATTTATTTATTCGACAGAGAGAGAGAGTGTGTGTACAAGCAGGGGGAATGGCAGGCAGAGGGAGAAGCAGGCACCCTGCTGGGCAGGGAGCCAGATGTGGGGCTCGATTCCAGGACCCTGGGACTGTGACCTGAGCTGAAGGCAGATGCTTAACCAACTGAGCCACCCAAGCGCCCCGCTGATAAGGCTTATTTTTTTTTTAATAAATAAAGAGGTTTAGTAGTTCCAGGAAAAAAATTCACTAAAACTGCAAATGTCTAAGTTGAGATATGAATATACTTAAAAAATAACAATAATAAAAAAGGCATAAAATATAAATAACCACCTCAATGGCTAAACATTAAAATAGTTGAAGAATGCAGAGTTTATGAAAGGCCAAAATACGTTAAAAAGAAGTAAACAGAATATTAAATAATCTGCTTTCTTAATCAGACAATCCTCCTGGAAGCTAGTTAATAGTAAAAAACACCTAGCACTTTCATGAAAATAATGCTTACTGTTCATTCACAGGAACAAACGTGTCAACTCTGTGACAGTTTGGGTTACAAAGGCTATTTAAGACATACTTTGCCTTTAAAACAGGTAAGGCTATAGGCAATAGTTTTAAAATCAAATGAACTTCTGTTAATAGGATAAAATACTTAAAAAATGGGGGTTGGGGTAGGGAGACAAATGGATTATGAAATTTTCACAGTGAGAAACATTTTCTTTGTGAAGTTCTGACTGACATTATTTGGTGGAGTGTTTTGAGCTACTTTTTAGCTATTTTCAAATATACTGTACGATATCCTGTTCAGTATTGGGAAGGTAGTAAAAGGAAAATGGACTGAATTTAGATGTTAAAATGAGTTGCTAAGGCAAGGCAAGGTTTTCCTGGTGGCCCTAAAAACAAAAAGAAACAGAGCACTGGGTGGCTCAGGCTGTTAAGCATCTGCCTTCAGCTCAGGTCGTGATCCCAGGGTCTCGGGATTGAGCCCCACATCAGGCTCCCTGCTCAGCACAGAGCCTGCTTTTCCCTCTCTCTCTGCCTGCTGCTCTGCCTTCCTGTGCTCTCTCTCTCTTTGTCAAATAAATGCATAAATAAAATCTTAAAAAAAAAACCCAAAAAGAAACAATATAAAAATATTTTTTTGTCCCAGTAATCAACCATGCAGTTAGTTTTGTAAAACTGCTACAGAAATGAGACAAATCAGCATTCAGTCAGACAGCTGCATAAAGTATTTCACCATTATCAAGATGCCAGAGGGCACTATGAACAGAGGAAAACAACCACAGGAGTACACTGCAGTTAGACATGCACTGGTAGTTATGATATCATTGCTTACACAAATGTGGGTCTTATCACACTCTATCATGAAAACAAAAAGAGGTTCTGCTGTTTACCAAGGACAGAATGGCAGAGCCAGATTCTACCCAGAGACCATTCCCTTTTCTTTGTTATGTAGAGGTTTTATAATCCTTTTCCTTCCAAATACTGCTACTTTTGGAAATTTTACACTAGCAACTTCCTCTAATTAGTCTCCCTATTTCTAGTCTCACATCCTTCTATTCCTCGTTCCATATAACTGCCTCATAGATCTTTGTAAAGCAAAAATATGGTGTTATCACCTTCGTGGATAAAACCTTTAAGATCTGCCACAAAGGCTATGGATTCTTCATTTTCTGGACTCTGTGGCCTTTTCCAAACCTATCTATCATTCCTATACATCGTGGATTCTTCTCTTCTTGAATTAGTCTCTTTCTTATAAATACCAAGGCTGTTTCACATTTCTCTGTGAAGACTTTCTCTGGCTGTGTCCACACTACCCAGTCATTCCCTCTTTCAGGCTGTCATTTCTCTCTTATAGTGTACTGATTATTCCTCGATATGGAGAGATCCACAAGATGATATAGTCACTATACTCCATTCAGACAGCAGAAAGGTTTACTTTTTTATAACCATCTGTAAGGTACTTTGTTAAAATTCGGAATCCAAAGATGAAGAAGACATGATCTCTGACCTAAAGAAACTCAATTTGTTGAACTTGAGTTCTAGACATTAACTGAGAGTGAGAACATAGCAAATGTCAAAAGCACTAAAAACAGACTTAAGTAAAAATGGTACAAGGAAGAGAGAATGATTAACTTTGCCTCTATGATGAGACAAGTCTTCACAGAGAAGATACTTAAGCTGATCTTCAAGAATAAAGCTCACCGCAGCAACCTCTTCGACCTCAGCCGCAGCAACATCTTCCTAGGAACATCGCCAAAGGCAAGGGAAGCAAGGGCAAAAATGAACTATTGGGATGTTATCAAGATCAAAAGCTTTTGCACAGCAAAGGAAACAGTTAACAAAACCAAAAGACAACTGACAGAATGGGAGAAGACATTTGCAAACGACATATCAGATAAAGGGCTAGTGTCCAGAATCTATAAAGAACTTAGCAAACTCAACACCCAAAGAACAAATAATCCAATCAAGAAATGGGCAGAAGACACGAACAGACATTTCTGCAAAGAAGACATCCAGATGGCCGACAGACACATGAAAGAGTGCTCCATATCACTCGGCATCAGGGAAATACAAATCAAAACCGCAATGAGATACCACCTCACACCAGTCAGAATGGCTAAAATTAACAAGTCAGGAAATGACAGATGCTGGCGAGGATGCGGAGAAAGGGGAACCCTCCTACACTGTTGGTGGGAATGCAAGCTGGTGCAACCACTTTGGAAAACAGCATGGAGGTTCCTCAAAATGTTGAAAATAGAACTACCCTATGACCCAGCAATTGCACTGCTGGGTATTTACCCTAAAGATACAAACGCAGTGATCCGAAGGGGCACGTGCACCTGAATGTTTATAGCAGCAAT